AGTGACAGCAGGGGACCAGACATCCCCCTGTAGATTCTGTACATACGTCCACACACGTACATGCACTATACATACATACAAACCATGTAATTAATTAGTTATTAAGGAAAACTGCACCAATACTTGACCCCTTCCACACAAGCATGGCCTCTTCCTGCCTCTTCTCGTTAGCCAATGCATATCTACTAGCCCAAAGTCTCTCTCCTCTAACTTATCTCGACATCCTTCTAAGTTCCCTCTTAGCCTCATGCCCTCCCACAAAACTTGGCTTAGACATCCAAAGACCACTCAACTCTACTTCCTCTTACATGGAAATGCCTCACTGATCTCACTAAAATGGGATTCTGCTGTGTTTGAGACTTAAACATCCTCTATGGCATACAACCCCCCGTCTCACACTGAGTCAAGACCAATAGGTACATATGCCCAATTGTTTGATGACAAAACTTCCAGAGTTTCCATCTGGTTATTTTCTGTCTTGTGAACTGTATCCATCTGTTAATTATCATGTGATTGCTATTTAAATTATTTACAAAGAGCATGTTTGCCATAGGCTCCTTGGCCTGCACATAAGACAGAAATTGCTAGTTCAGATTCAAATAATCAATTTAAAAGTCCTTCAGAGAAAAGCAATGTCAAGACTGTCTGCAAGCACATGGGAAATCCAGCCTGGACCTCTTCTCCTCCACCCTCTCTTCCTTCCCAGGCCTGTCTGAGTCTGGGCCTTCCATCATGCAGAGTGGCCTCTCATTGCTCAGCAGGACTGCCGAAGTTAGAGCTGACTCTCACTTTTGACATGTTGATGTCACATCTCACCACACACAGGAACGTCATAAAACCCTTCCTGCTGTGTCTGGTCAAGATTCAGGCACTTCTGAGGAAATCAGAATCACCTAGAGAGCCAGACCACATCCTTAGGGTTTCTGACTCAGTGCTCTAGAGTAGGGTCTGAGAATCTGCATTGCTCACAAGTTCCTGGTCACTGATGCTGAAGATCCAGGTGAGAAACTCAGTTGTATATTCTCAACTTGATGTGTCTACCAGGCTTTGACCCCTACTTTCTTCCAACCATTAAGATCCCCATTAACCTCCCCCTTGGGGTTACTCTTCATGCATACTGTGACTGTCTTATTCACCCCTCCCCCATGCCCCATCTTTCTTTCCTTCTTCGAGGTTGAGGATCAACAGGCTTTTATCACAGTTTATTCCTTTTTCAGGACTAATTTCTAGCATTCCTGTCAAATACTTTACTTTTTTCTTCTTATTAAAAATATCTTTAATTCTTTGTTACCCCTAAACATGTACATAGGCAGGAAAACCCAAGCAAACCTCCCCTTAATACTGAACTTCTCTCTGGCCATAATCCAATCCCTTGCTACTCTTTCTCTTCAAACTTCAAGAATGATTAGGACCCCTCCCTGTCTCCATTCCTCTCGACATCCACATTTGACTTCTATGCACCCCCACATTTTCAGTCTCTTTTGCTAAGGACCACACCACCCACTGAACTGGAAACACTTCTATCCTCATCTTCATTCTATCTTTCTTTGCTGTAACGTCTCCCACGAAGTTCTCGATGGGCACTGGTTCTTCTCCTATTGATCTTGCCCCATCTTCTTTGTAAAGAAGTAAAGTCTTCTCTCCCTCTCTCAATATTTCTTCAAATGAGAATATAACCTGGCGTCTGTCATTGATCTTCTGGTCCAGAACCCTGAGCCTGTGTGTCAGAATATAGCCTGGCTTCTGTCATTCATCTTCAGGTCTAGAAGCCCCACCCTGTGTGTCAGGATACAACCTGGCTTCTGTCATTCATCTTCTGGTCCAGAACCCTTGCCCTGTGTGTCAGAATATAGTGATATACAATAGAGTTTTATTCCATCATAAAGAAAGATGAAATTAATGCTGTTTGTAGCAAAATGCATACAAATGGAGAACATAATATTAATAAAAGCAAGTCAGGCTCAGAAAGACAAATGTGTGTTTCTCTCATTTGTGGATCCTCAATAATTACATAATACATAAATGTCTTTATGAAACTTATTAATATGCATAATGAATACATGCCAATAATTATATCACACACACCCATACAATCAGTGTCATAGGGATTTCAATATAATTGTCTCAGCACTTTAGAGTATCCTGACCTGTTTATCCCAGTAGGCCAGATGCAGATTATGACTTCGTCATCACGTGATCTCATCAAACATTCCCCTGAGGGATTACTTCCTCTTTCCTCGTTTGTCATCAATATCATGATGGCTTCAAACTATGTCTTAGAGCAATGCTGGAAACATGAGGAATTCCTTTTAATCTTCCCCTCCATAACCTCGTACCTCTAAAAAATGTTCACATCTGGCCCTCCTACCTGCCGTATGATCTTTTGTCTCTATTACTCTAGAATTTTCCAAACTGAACTCCCTGTGGCTTTGTGGTTCTCAAATCCACCTCCATGCTGTTGTCTGAAGAGTCTATCTAAAATGCAAATCGAAGCAGACCTGCCCTTGCTTAAGAGCCTCTAGTGGTTCTCTGCTGACAGGATGGAGTCCTAGCTGCTGCAGCAGACCAAACAGCATCATGGTTGAATGCTATTCATTTCCCCCGTCTCCCTCTGACCACTTCCTCTCTCACACCTCATTCTGTTCTGCTCCCAGGTCTTTGCCTGCCTTGCCCTCTACACCTGGAATGTTCTTCAAAGCCTCCACTCACATTTCATCCTGCCTTTTCCAGCTCCCACCCACCCTGTCTCCACAAGGAAGTAATACAGCCCATGTTTCTCTAAATACTCCAGACGATTTTCACCTTGATATATTTCCTTTATAATTATTTTAAGTTACTTCCCTCTCTACTAAACAGTATGTTCTCTTGTGTTCTATTGACAGAAAATATTGGATAAATAACTAATTAATAAACATAGCCTAAGGCTTTTCAGAAAACAGATAAGATATAACCTACTCTAGGTCAAATCTCATGCTTTATATTAGACAGTGATTAGAATGAAGTACTTCATTTGTCTTTAATCGAAACTATATAGACCAAGTCTTGTCAAAATTAGACAAAAAGGACCATTGAAATATCTTACTTCGTGGAAAGCAGACTGTGCAGTTTTATTCGAAGTAGGTAACTCATTCTTTTGAAACCTACTTTTGTTTTCCCACTCCATCTGCATACAGGTGTTTTTATGAAACTAAGTAGTTTCAAAGAGTTTTCAGATATATATGTATGTACATATATATATATATATATATATATATATATATATATATATGTTATTTTCCCTTATAAATCCCTGAAGACAGCTAAGAAGAAATTATAATCATTTCACACATGAAGAAAACAGGGCTGAAGGATCATCATTTCCACAACAGTAACTAGTGTGTGGCAAAGCAACTCCTGATGATAAACCAGCAACCTCCTCTACCCATTACTTTGCCTATAACAGTTCTCTCTGTGTGTCTTTCTCTCTCTCTCTCTCTCTCTCTCTCTCTCTCCATCTCTCTCTCTCCCTCTCTCTCTCCTCTCTCCTTCATTCCATTCTTTATGTGATAATGTAATACCAATTGGTTTGTGTGTTAGCAATATTCTAGACTTTTTACAAATCCAAAAGATTAGAGCCGTCCATGTGCCTCAGACACGTATACATGAGTACATTCTGTCATTTGCACAGATACCCAGTCTGTACCAGATGAATTTGCTTATAAGCCAGCAACACTTCAGCTGAAGTGGATCACAGCCACCCGGCCTACCGCAGCAATTTCAAGCTTAAGAATATTTCAAACTGTGTCTAATTCAGCCACTAACTCAGTGCTTGAACACACCTTCAAGGTGGTCCAAACAGGAGATTCTGCAGTAATTACTTGACTGTCTGAATTCACCAATCTTACAATCGCTAAAGACAGTGCTGGCCAACTGCAGAGCCTTGGGGAGACATTTCTCTATAAATCCACCCATCTGCCACTTATTGGCAAAGGTTTTGTCCTAGTTGCCAGAGATACAAATTGACCTGAGTTTAAAATGCTTCTAAATTGCTATCAGTAGAGGATTTGGAAAATAACGTAGCCCAGTTTGCTCTTATATAAATGGATTAAATTAAATAATGCGTGCAAATTGGCAAGTACTATAGTATCTTCAACAACTACATAGAGTAAGTACTCAATACCATGTTAACTAAACCAATAACTCTTCTTAATCTTTGGTATAGTTTTATTTTGAGGGTGTGGGGGGGTGGAAACCAGAGTCCACCATGGAATATCTTTCTCTATCATTTTCTACATTGATTTTTAAAGCAGGCTCTCACTGACCCTGGAGCTTGCTGACTCAGCTAGATCAGAAAGTCCAAAGGATCTTCCTGTCTCTGCTTCCCCATTGCTGAGATCACAGGCGTGTATCTCCATACCTGGCTTTTTATGGAGCCCTGGCCCCCCCAAACACAGCAAACACTTTACCAACTGAGCCTCTCCCAGTCTCCATTGACATAGATTTTAGCAGCAATTCCTTAAATCCAGTCATCAGATTCTCAAAGATAAAACACATTTAATGAGGTAAATAGAACCCCGATGACTTTCTTGTTAGGAACATAATCCTCAAACAACCCACTTTGACTTTCTGCCACACATCCCCATACTGACAGAATGGGGTAGGAATGCAGTCTCTTAGTAACCTGAGTCATGCAAATTTAACTTCTTCCTGTGTAGTAAGAGGCGTTATTCCAAGTTCATCCAACCCTTGATCTTGTGACCAAAGCATAAATTGTAAATCTTATTGGAACAAATTTTGACAAACTGGAGTGGAAATAAGAAGTCACTTTGAAGAGCCACTGTGTAGGAGATAGAGGTGTGTCTCTTCCATCTACACAGAGGGTGGGTAAATTTTCATCAAGCAGCAGGAAATAGGACTCATTTGAATCCATCTCAAATTCGAGATTTTTCTCCTTCTAATGAGAAAGCAACATCATGAGCTTCAGCGTTTGGCAAGTGACCTGCTGGCTCCATCTATAACTGATGGTGACTTTTCCATTTGCTTCAGTCTCTGGGGACTACAGCAAGCGTGTGTACCAGGGCGTGAGAGTGAAGCACACCGTCAAAGACCTCCTGGCAGAGAAGCGGTCCAGACAGACAAGTAACTCCAGACTCAATGTAAGTGCTGATTCGATTCCAGCTGAGTCCTGCAGGTCTGAAGCCTCTGTTAAAGTTCCTTCTCTCCTCTCCTCCTTTACCTGACCTCACCCGCTCTTCCGCCTCCTGCCTCTTGACTATCCTCAAGAGAGAGGACATACTTTACCTAGGACATGCTTCAGAAATACTTTGACATTTTTATTCCTCCCTGCAAGGGCAATCTTTCCTCTCTGAGGACACCCATGTCATAGTATCCGGGGACTTGATTAGTGACATCAAGGTTTGTGCTTGAACTTTTATTTGCTACACTCTCCCCATTGTCCTCCTCGCCCCATTTACAAATGGTTTTTGTTTTACTTCTGGAATTTTCTGTGTATTGCTATTCATCTGCTATTGCTCATCTGACCCTGGAAATAGAATGTGCTACTCCTTCATGTTATGTAAATAACAGTCCATAAATGCCTGGCCTCCTCCTTATTAAGATATCTGGTGTAATAATAAGAAGGTGAGTAGAGAGAGTGCCTTTGTCTGCCAGGGACCATCTGTGTATGTGACCCTGGAAAAGTCTCTGGATGCAACAAAAAATAAATAAATAAATGAAGCAACCAAAATGATCATTAGGGGTTCTCATGATGTAAAAATGCCTGACTGTTCATCACCCCAAAGCATGTGATTTTTCCAGCAACATTTCCAGAGCTGTGTGATCTAATTAGCTTACTACTTCAGCTAGGGACAGTAGAAACGGGATATACCTGGACTTTTCCACATCTCCCAGTCACTGCTTGAGAAAGGCTCAGGGTTTGAGGATACACTGCTGACCTTTGATATACATTGTATTCTATATCCAACAGATGAGATTTATAATAAGTCCTCTCTGAAATTCTCAGTAGGTGTTTTTTGTATGTTTTTTGTTTGTTTGTTTTTGGATTTTTGAGACAGGTTTCTCTGTAGTTTTTCGAGTCTGTCTTGGAACTAGATCTTGTAAACCAGGCTGGCCTCAAACTCACAGAGAGCCACCTGCCTCTGCCTCCCAAGTGCTGGAATTAAAGTCATGCGCCACTACTGCCTGGCCTCCCAGAAGGTGTTTTGAGCTTCATTCCTATCTGTCAATCACATCTGTACTTACAGCTTTGCTCTGTGCCTGATAAGCTGTGCTCAGGTCTCAGAAAGGGACCAGAGAATAGCAACGGTATTAGGCTAACATGAAAAATCAATTCCATGCATTCTACTAATATAATAGCCTGAATGCTGGGCATGTGCAGATAACCAGGAGTAAATGGAGCAGTCACATCTAGCATCTAGCACGGGGCACACAGGGGAAGTACTTTCTCCAGAACAGCTGCTGGCAGTGTGGATACCACCCTCCATATTGCTCCAATAGCAACTCCTATGACATCAGTGATCAGCTTCGGAATCAACTTCTGTATCAAAAACACCTTTTATGCACATCCCTGCTACCCTTCTCTTCAAACAGCCTCTTCCTTTGAGTTCAACACTCAGAACAGCTTATAAGAGAAATCTGAGCAGCTGGGCTCCTTGTCTGATCCCCATTCAGTATTTCTCAGGGTGCTTGCTCAGAAGCATCTGGAGGGTGTGTTCGAAATATCATTACCAGACTGAGAGGGAAATCAGAGAGAGTGGGGTGGGGGTGTTTCTGAATCTACTCAAAATGAACCATTTCTGTGCACAAATGAGGGGATTGCTCAGCCACAGCTTCAAACAAGAGAACATTGAATTTTGAAACCTAATAAAAAAGTCCCAGGAAAACATCAAATTAAGTAGAGAAGAGGCACACGTAAGGACACTACAGGCAGGGAATGAGCTGTGTATCTGTACAGCATGCATTAGGGCAGATTTCACAGCTTTTGGTATCATCAATATTTACATACAGGTAAGAAGGCAGAGTTATAGACTTCTATTATAAAAAAAAAAGTTGTGCCATATAAGAAAACAACAAGGCAGGCTATATCCAAATGGTGAATTCATGTAGATTTTTAAGAGCAAAGGACTTTGTGCCCAAGGCCTATAAATATCAAGTCATAGATGTTTGTCTTCTTTTTCTCTCGTTTTTAAGTTTTTCTTTTTTAAAATAAAAATAAAATAAGCACAGTAGTAAGTCAAATTAATTAAATATCAATATTCTATTAAATCTTTTAGACTTCCATACAATATATTTTAATCATATTCACCCTCAATTCCTTCCCCTAACTCTCCCCAGATCTACCACCCACCTCCCAACTTCATTTCCTTTTCTTTCTTTAAACCAGAGTCCAGTCTGTGCTTCCCATATACCCACCGCTGTGGGGCCATCCGTAAGAGCATGGTCAACCTTTCAGAGCCAAGCTCATTGAGAAAACGGATTCGCCCTCCCCAGGAAGCCACCAGCTGACCATAGCTCCTCTCTTTATGACCCCTTGCTGGAATAGCAACTGGCTTCATCTTGTCCCAGTCTGTGCAGGCAGACATAGCTGCTTTGCAGCATGAGCACAGAGATCCTGCCCTGCCCAGTGGTTGCTGTTTTGCTCTGGTCCTCATTTCCCCGTCACTCTTACAATCTTTCCAACCCCCTCTTCTGCAACAGTCCCTGGGCTTTTGGAAGAGCAGGGTGATGGAGATGCCCTGTGTGTGTCTGAGCATTCCCTCCATACACACTTATTCTCTGCCCTCAGGTCAGTTGTGAATTTCTCTGCCAACCTCTGTCCACTGCACCAAGAAGCACCTCTGATGAGGTCTGAGAGGTGCATGTTGAAAACATATCATTTCATTTCATAATGCACAGATGCTTGGGCTTGGCCAGAGAATGATCATCTCGACTTTCTACAGTCTCCTCAAGAAATTCTTTTGCAAATGGCTATTTACAATAAAGAACAAGTGCCCTAGCCTCACATAGCACGGTGGCTCCTTATCTCTTATCTAGCTAGCCCATTGCTGTTGGCCTAAAATGAGAAACTGGGAAACAGCTGTATGGAGCATGTAGACAGCCTGCTAAATACCAAATAAACCTGTAAGAAGAAAAATAGCTACACATAAAAAGTGTACATTCATATAGCCAAACACTAAGCTGAATGCTTATGACCACACAAGCAATATGAAAATAGCTATATTTATGTGAGGATAGATTAAAATATATTTTCTGTGTTTTATTTCATTCCATGGGCACATTATCCTCTGAGATTCGCATTTACAGTTTCCCATTTTACAGATAAATATGTTGAAAACAAGATAAAGGAAAGAACTGGTACACTGGAGAGATGGCTCAGAGGACCTGAATTAGGTTCCCAGCATCTGAGTCGTGGGGCTCACAACTGCCTGTATCTCCAGCTCCAAGAGACCTTTCACCCTCCTTTGGTCTACATGGACACCCTCACACAGACACGGACAGACTCACACAAACACAGACATAGACATCCTTACACACACACAGACACAGACATGGACATCCTCACACACACACATACATGGATACCCTCATATAGACACCCTCATGTGGACACAGACACATAAACTTTATTTTTTTAAAAAGTGCACAATTTGCAAAAAGTAGATTTGTTGAGTCTTAATTCCATATTTAAAAAGTCAGCTCAGACTGGACTAAAGTAGAACAACCTTTGACACATGAAAATAAGGAGAGAGAGAGAGAGAGAGAGAGAGAGAGAGAGAGAGAGGAGAGAGAATATAAGAGAGAATATATAAGAGAGAATAAATATCAGATAGAAAAAAACCTGGTAACAGAAAAGTGAGTCTCCCGAAGCCATGGTCTTGGCAGGCCATTGTAGGTGTACAAATGGACCTTAACTCTCTCTCCTCACTGTATCATCTCAGCGCTAGCATCGTCTTTCCCACTTTAGTGATGGGTAAGCTTCCGTGGTTAATCATGTAATTCATATGTGAGCTCGTTTGAACTTTAAGCATCTCTGAATTGATTTTCCAGTCTGCTTACTATTTAAGAATACTGAGAAATCTGTCTAGAAAGGTGTTCGCATCAGTCACCGCCCACTCTGAAGACCTATTTCTATCCCTGCTGTGAATGTGACTCAAAGAGCAAAAATTGGGGAGCACCCTATAGCCAGCAGACCCTCACTCGCAGGGCTCTGATTTCATGAGCAGGGCTGAGACCACCTCCTTTTCTCCATACTGATACGTAAGGATACAGTGAGTCTTCAGCCTCAGATGGGTTTATAACAAGGACGCTACTCATGAGGCATGCTTAAAATCTTCAGCTGGCAGAATGGCTAACAGTCAATGATGAATGGTCCCAACCCAAAACTGAATTCCCAAAGATCCTAAGTCAATCCTCTGGGACCAGTGGGCAGATGCAAGTATCTTGAGAGGAGTTTACCTGGGTGGGCACTTAATGCAATCAGCTGTGTCCTTCTAAGGGAGGTTTGGGATGGAGACACAGAGAAGATGCAGGAGTAAAAGGTAAAGCAGCCCCTTCAGTAGAGGTTGGAGGCAGCAAATCAAGGAATCCTGGCACCTGCAAAAGCGGGTTGAAGATAGGTCCCTCAGTGAGCACCATAGCTGGGACAACTTTGCCAAGAGCTAATTTTGGGATGCCTGGCCTTCAGAACCACGAGAATGCATCCAGATGCTCACTGTGATAGGTGATAGGAAACTTGTGCATGGATTATGAAAAGTTAGGTCCCTCTCATCCGACCCCCTTCCGGATGGTTAGATGCCCTTGCCACCACCTGGGTCCTGAACCACCCTCTGAGTAAGGTGGCACAGCTGTGGTTTTCTATCTTTACCAAAAATTTTCTCAACTCTCATAATTTCGCAGTAAAGTTTTGGAAAATATCATAAAACAAAGATCTTGTATCAAGCAAGATTTTAACAAAATCTCCTCCGTCTGTTTTACCTGTTATACTATGGCTGTGCAACTGCTGTGTCTATGTGCTTTTAAATTGTGAATTTCTTCATCTTTTTTCCTATCACTCTTCACTACATCACTGGATTTCTGCCAGAATAAATAGATACCACTTGCTAACACCTGGTGCCAAAAATAGATAATTAGATTTCTG